GGCGCGTTACCGGGCACGACTTTAGGAAGTACTGGTGGTTTAACGAGGTGATAAGAGCAGCCCTGTTAAGTGGGTTCCTTTAACATGGCTAGTGTTTTTTTGTTTTTTTTGTTTTTGGCTAGTGTAGATTCCAGAGAATGATGATTTTATGTGGTGTTTGTGGCTTTTCTGACCTTTGGCACATGATTCCCTTCGACTCCAGAACCCTTACGGATATAGTGATCTTTCTTCTGGTTCCAGAATCTTTTTGATTGATCATGAAAACAGCCCTCGCCTGATCTTACAAGGGGTACCATATGGTTGTATACCTGGCTGTCAGCTGAAATGATACATGGTGATCCCCACCTTCAGATATCAGGAAGGAGGACATAAATAGCCCCTGTATGTTTTAAAAGGACAACACTAGCCTGGTCAGAATGCACCTGTGCATCTCCATGGATTAGATGCAGGTTATGCAGATGTGGAAGTGCACATCCAGGAGCATCTTCCCTGACCGGCCTAGGCCTAGTTGTGGTGTTTTTAATAGACCAAGATAGGCGACTGCTTACACACATTCCCACACACATTCTTATTATGCAATTGAAAATTTCATTAACTCAAGAGAGTGCCGCGTCTTAGACTGAAATCTCCGGTAGGTCCGTGTCAGTTTAGGGAGGTGGTTAGGGTTCGGATTGCTGTAGGGGGAACTCTTCGATCCTTGTGGGAGTGGTGGTGAAGAGGGTGTGATTGTTTGCCGGAAGTTTGTCGTCAGGGAATTTTCGAGGGCAGAAACTTCACGCGGGGTGCCACTTACTGGGGGGATAGGGGCATCCCCCTTAAACCACCAGTACCTACCGGTTCTCAAGGCGCGTTAACGGCCGCGTCGAGTTTATCAAGCAGGGCGAGGTACTGGTGGTTTAAGTGGATCCCTGTTAAAAGGCTCCCTCTATTGGTGGGGATCCACAACTGCTGGAAAACGGGTCCAGTGCCCCATTATAGCAGAATGGGACGGTCTGTGAGTGTCGGTTGTCCGAGAATGGCCGAGAATGTCGGTGACCGAGATTGAGTTGAGGTTGTGAACTAGGGGCCTACCGTCTTCACCCGAATAGAACGCCCGGTCACTATCGCTGCATCTGGACTGAAAGTTGGGCCAAATGCAGCTATAATGACCGGCCATTCTATTCGGGTGAAGACGGTAGTATCAGCTGGCTCTACTCTAGCTCTTCTGGGTAGTCTACAGGAGATCCCTTTCAGTCCCTGAGGGGCACCAGAGACTGATCAGGCCATACACGGGGGCGGTTAGTCTGCACCATACCACTGTCTGTCCATTATTGAGAGTGCATGGGGAGGGAAGGGGTCTCATGTTTGGAAGTTACTAAGCATGAAATCCTGATTTTTCACAAACACAGAGGAAAGAGAAAACAAAAACAATTGAAGAGTCTAGAGAATTCATGTCAAGGGTCATCAATTTTCTATTTTTTCTTCTTTTCCCCGTGTCCTTTTAAGCCACTGGTATGAGCCCCGGCCTCCGGAACTTGTGGCCATATACAAGCAGGCCACACTTTCAATTTACCCGCCTGGCAGGAACCTGTGATTCATTTTGGGGGGGGGGGGAGAGTAGGTTTGGGAGATGCTGTAAAACGGAAAAAAAAGCAAATAATGTACAGCCTAAGGAAACCGTGGGCCATCTGCGCTATTGAAGAAAGAGGTCGGGAAGGTTCGTTCTCATTTAAGTCCTCGGGTCTTCATTTCGGTCCTCTGCTCTGCCCTCTATCTATGCACTCCTCTATTACATCTTCTAGTCAGTTACGGTTTATTTTTCACTCCTGAGGCGGCAGTGGCACAATGACTGTGTGCTCTCTCTTTTCTTGAAGGTGAGCTTCTGTGCTCAGTGCTTGGATAGTTTGGCTGTCTGGTGACAGCATGTATGTCGATTTAGCTGTCTGCTGATCACGTGTAAGCGGATTGATTAGCTGTCTGTTGATCACATAAAGTCAAAGATGGACGGGTGTATGCCTTTTTTTTTTTTTTTGTAAACAAATGCTCCAATTTATTTGTGGGGAGCAGCACGTGCTGGGGACCTGGCCCAACGTCCCTTATAATTGGAATACATTGATAATTAATGAATGTGGACTTTTGCGAAACCCGAAGAAATCCGAATGGTCATGGCACGGGATTTGCCTTTCACCACCCGCTCTTCTCCTATGCGCAAGTCTTTCCACAGCCCCGTGTAAGCCAGCGGGCATCTTTTCAAAGGCTAGGCCAATAACTGATGGCTTAACAACTGGATGTGCTCGCCTTTACTTTTTTGGAACGGCTTCTATCCCATACACTCATCATCTCATCATTGCGTCCATGTTGTCGGCATCATTGCTCTTCTAATTAGATTGAACATATTCCTGTGGAGGACAAGTGTTCCTGGTGGTTGGGCCGGTGGCCCAGTAAAAGAGATCTCCAGTCCCATCACCCAACATCCATTTGAATCCGCCTTTTGCAAATAGCATAGCCCTGGGCATCCGTTTAAACCACCCCTCCAACGGCCCCTGTACTGTTCATTTTTGTTGGCCAGAAATACTGGGCCAAAATCTACCGTGCCTATGCCTGGTAGAGGTTCGGCGGGGAAGGGTACCACAATTATTTTTCGTCATGGCGGTACTGTAGATTTTAGGCTCGGGGAAATGCAACTTTTGGTTTGTCAAATGAGGTCTGGTCCAGATGGAGTGGTGGTTCAAGAAACAAATGTTCCATCGTAGCTGACGATTTCCTTGTTGGGGATGGGGCAGTGCAAATCTACTAACACCATGTTGTCTCTTTTCATTCTTTTCCTTTTTGCTTCAGGGTCTTTCTCCATTAAACCGCTAGTACACGGCCCCAGCCTTGCGGAAAGTTTTTGTCGCCACAAGCAAAACTCGGAGGCGCCGCACGGCCAGGCATTCCAAAATGGCGGCCTCCGAAATGGTGCAGGTTTCGTGCTGACACCCACGGGCCGATATGTGGTGTACTGGTGCTTTAAGCCACAGCCGGGTGAAAGTCCTGGCACCTTTTTTTCTTTCTTTTTTGAATTTTAAGCCCAGGGTGTTGTAGAGGCCACGCATTCCAACTCATAATTGGAGCCCTGGGCACTGGGACCGTATTAAACCACCAGTACCTCCAACTCTCTGAGCCGTTTTTTCCCGACACGGATTTCCCCTGCGTGCCAAAAGAAAATGAACTGGCACCTGCATGCTTTTTTCTTTGTTTTGCCTGGTGCTGCCAGCCATTGAGGTCCGCTAGCACTGTTCCTGCTTAAGTTTTGGTTGTATACAAATCGCTTGGGAATCCTTTGCCGGTGAAAGGTGCTGGTGGTTTAGAGAAAGGGGAAAACAAAAAAAAAAACTGTAATGACCCGACAGTAATGAGAAGTTTCCAGAAGTCGAACACGTGAGTAGTCTCAACACACTCAAAATGGAACCAATCACAATGCAGAATAAGTCATAAGGCCCTCCACGCTGTCCCAGAATAAGCAGTGAGTTACCCAAAGTGCGGCAAAGGTAGAGAAGCAGTAGAGAGGAGGAGGATAGTTTCAATAACAATCAACAAGCATCCTTATTCATTTAGTGGACTCGAGTAATCACCAAGGGTGTGAAAGTTTCAACTTCAAAAAAAAGAAAACTTACTGAAATATCCCCGAGGGTGCATCCAGCATGTGGAGATTTTTTTTTTTTTTTTTTTTTGAAGCATGTGGAGATTTTGAAGATCAGATGCCCCTCATGGAACGGATTGAAAAAGGAAAAACAAAGCGGATATGCAAGTATCAGCTGTAGTCCATCATTTGCCAAATGTCCAAGTGGAGAGTGCATCTTGGTGGAGATAGTGTCAACATACATTTGTGTCATTTTTCCGATAGGTGAGTGGCAGAACAAGGCCCTATACCAGCATCACATGAAATGATGAGAAAAGCAAAACAATATGGAGAAACACAGACATAAGCTGGAGCAATGAATCTGGCAATTGTTGTGCCTGATGGTGCAGGGGGTCAGCTGCGCAAGATACTCGTACTGGGACTTTCCATGTGTCTGGCCGTCGATAGGTACAGTTAAAATAATTCAGAAGTCCCCTAGTAATAGTACTTTCTTCCAATTGACAGGTTTCTTCAACTTTCTTCTGGATCAGTGTTGCAAAACCTAACAGCATTCAAGCACAAACTCAATGCTATTCCATTTCCATGTGCATGGCAAGTTACCTTGTCGGTTGCAACCTGTCGAACACGTCCAGTAAGGCACCCATCACCAAGGACAACTTCGGGGCGATTCATTTACTGCACCTTTGTCCGCGCATTTCCCTGTCCTCCCTCCCCGGCCCTCTGGTCCAAAATATCCTTGCAATGAAAGGGTATCTTTGGAGCCAAAAACACTCTAGCTTCTCTATAACCAAAGCACATGCACTAACAAGCGACTACATTAGGGTACTCAGCGGAGGAGGCGAGTGGTCGAAGAAGGTCCGGGGGTAGGAGGGGGAACTGAAGAGTTGTTTCTTTTCTTTTTCTTTGTTTAAGCCCAGGGTGTTGTAGAGGCCAAGACCAGACCAACGGTGATCGCTAGCAGTGGCAGCCGATGGTTGTCCTGACAGGATAGGCCACCTTCCCTACGCTTCCCCACGTTAATTCTCCCAGCTCAACCCCTATCCCAACTATCTTACCCCAGTGTGACCAGCACTCAGGACCATCACCCTACCGATATCGAGGGCAACTTGGGCCCGACAGCAGAAGAGTCGTACAAACATAGCCAGTTATGTTCGCTTCGCGCCTAGACCCTTTTAAATGTGAAATGTCCTTTGGTACATCTTATAAAATTTGAAGTTTGACCCCCCAAAGACAGAGAGGACCACCATTGGCTCTGGATCAGGATCAGGATTACACACTCACAAACTGAGAAATGTTTGTTTGTCCCCCCCGCAAACAAAGGAGGGAAACGAAGAGAAAGCAAAAGCATGACTAATGTACAGTGATGCTGCCACATGGCCTTGTATATACATGAATGCAGGAATTTGGGGTGGGAAGGGGCAGGGGAAGACGTTTCAGACAGAGCTCATTTTCAAGGCCATTGGAATAGAGCCAGTAATACTTTCAGCGGGTGAATTGGAAAGCGAGCGGGCTGGTGAGTGTTATGAACGTCTCTCCACGGCAAACTTACAAAGTCAATTCTACCAATGGGCCTAGGCCTAGCTCAGTTCGTATACTCATGAACTGTCGAAATACAGAACCAAGTTCGTATCCAGACAATCAGATGACCAGAATAAGATCATTCTGAATTACCTGGGGCCCGGTCAGTTCAATGATAATATTCTCAAGGTGGTCGCCCTCAGTGTTGTACACCCCGACCGTCGGCGACTCTTGACTGATCGGCACCTACCGGTTGGGGTTCGTTGGCATCCCCCCCAAAAAAACCTAATGACCCCACCAACACCCCCATACCCACCCMMAACACCCCCATACACCCCCCCAACACCCCCAAACCGCCCCCCAACACCCTCATACCCCCCCCAATGCCCCCTATACCACGCTTATGCCCCCCTATATCCCCCTATACACCCCCCCCACCCCCCCCAATGCCCCCTATACCACGCTTATGCCCCCCTATATCCCCCTATACACCCTCCCCACGCCCCCCCCCATCCCCAAAAGCTTCTCAGCGGATTTGGGCTGTGCTCAGCAAGCGCAGTACAGCTTCCAACTCAGATCTGAAAAAAAAATAGTGGCTGGCTGTTTTGAAGTGTTTTCTGACCACTCAGCAGACCATCGACCGGTTGGCCCTACTGGTCCTCTGCAAAACGGTCGGTGGTCGGGTCGGCGGTAGGCAGGTATGCAACCATGGTCGCCCTTTTAAAAGGGAAAAAAAAGGACAAAGTCAATCCTAGGTCCCGATGCATTGATCACCCAGCTCTAACATCATGCATGCAACTGTAAGGGCATAATAATCAGACTACTGTAGATAAGATGTGCTCTACTGACACTGCAGAGCGAGCTGTGAGTGTGAGCAGTCAAGCACACCTTACTATGCTACACTGTACCATGAGCGGACCAATTGCTCCGTACTAAGGTGTGTTCAACTACTGGCCTCACTCTGCACGTTTGATAAGAGGTCAGGTGTCAGTGATAACAGGTGAGGTACGACGTGAGGTGTCAGTTGTGAAAAGAGGGATTTGTGGGGACAGAAAACCCAACAGCCTACCAACAGGCCTAGCTCAGTTGGTACATCCGTGAACTGTTGACGTACACACCCAAGTTCGAATGCAGATATAACCAGATGAACAAAATCAAATAATTCTGCATTTCTAGGGGCTGGTCAGTTCAATGAATATATCTCAAGGTCGTTGCCTTTAAAAAAAAAAGAAAAAAAGAGTCAGACCTACAACTGTAGGGAAAAAAAAAAAAGAAGGTAATGTGTCAGCAATAACAGGTCAGGTAAGTCCTTTCTGGGACATCCGTTAAATTGGAATGAAATACAGAGAAGACTAGCATGGCCCCTGCACAAGGATGACATGCATAAATCGAGAAACGGTCCCAAAAAAAAAAAAAAAAAAAAGATAGCAGGTCAGGTAACCTGTCAGGTGTCAGTTGTGAGAAGAGGGACTTATGGCGACAGGGAAAAAAAAAAAAAAAAAAAAAAACCCGAAAAAAAAGCAATGCGCCTTGCTCAGTTGCTACACCCATGAACCGTTGAAATACAGACCTGAGTACGATTCCACATGGAAATAGATGAACCAAATCCAATAATTCTGAATTATCTGGGGGCTTTACAGCAGTGAGCCTTCCCTTTCGGTCAAGTCCATGCCAGGCTGCAAATCCAGTTTCTTTGTTTTTTTTTTAATTCCCCTCCCTTTCTCTTCTTCTCCTTAAAGGCTTAAACCACGACTTCCTACGAGCCTCTTCTTGCCAAGAGCAGAAAAGACGCGCCAAGCGTTGCCGAAGCGCCAGCGCGACTGTTTTTTTTTTGGGGGGGGGCTGGTGCAGCTAGCCATTTTGGTCCAGTGGTGCAAGGCTTCCGAAAAATGCGGTATAGCCATATAAGGTTATTATTCCGCATTCTTACCGCATTCTTAGGAGGTTTCGAGTTTCCCTGTAAGGTACTGGTGGTTCAAAATTCAATCCAGTTTCTTTGCAGGCAAATATCACTGTTTGAAAAATTTCCCGATAGCTTTGCGACATTCGTCTGCTGCTTGCCTGTCCTGCTGTGGAATTTGTTTCTTTTTCCTTTTCCTCCAATTTTTTTTTGAATTTTTCCCTCCAAAGTGTTTTCTAACTTTTCTTGCTCTTTGCAGGCGAACCAGGGAGACTCATACGCGACAGGTACAGAGCCGCATCAGCAGTAGTCAAAACCAAGGTCAGTCAGTAGTCACCGATATTGATTCAATGACAACCTGATAAGTATGCCCCTTTTTGTTCCCCCCCCCCCTCCCCCTCCTCCCCCCCTTTTTATGCCGCTTGTTTTTTTGAATTTTTTGCTTTTGTTCGGAAACTGAGCATGTCATTTGGACAACGGAATATCATTTAAATTTTGAAAATTCGAAATTTGAATTTAAATTTTGATTTTTTTTTTTTGCATTGCGATTTGCGGAGCAATTGGACAGTAGTGTGAATCACAAAAATGCACCTCACAGGCTCACACAATTTGTTATGGGATTGGTTCCCTTACTTTTTAAGTTTTAAGTTAAAAAAACATCTTTCTGTCTGTTGCACATTCTGTGATGTGCATTTAATGAATTTTGATCAGATGCGCATATTCGGAAATTCAGTTGCAGCTGGCTGGGTGGGAATCAGGGAGGGAGACTGGGGAAAATCAAATGGGATGGGGCATTGGACGACGATAATGATGAGATTCGAAGGGATTACAGATTGGAATTTGGTGATTGGACTAATATAGAGGCTTCAGTGCCAATGCGCCCTTTATCGAAATTCCCCGATCCTTTCCCTCCTGAGACAGCTCTTGTTCCCAGTTCTTGGTATGGAATATATATAAAGGCAATTTAAGTAGGAATATACCTTTTAGGAGCAACACAGCTAGGGTTAATAGTTTTTCTGGCACCCTGAAAAAAAGGGTGAAGAGGCAGTGTTTCTCTTACTATTTTCCCATCCCTGCGCTGAGTGAGGAGCTCCAGTCAGAATATTCAAAGGTACTTATCCAAGACTCTCTGACAACTATGTTCTCACATGTATATTCAAGGGACGCTGGACCCGATTTCCAGCAGGTGAAGCTCCCCACCAATAGATGGGGCAGCTACCAGTAAAAAATAAATAAATAAATAATTAAATAAAATTTGATCAGATGAGAAATGGTTAATTGAAAGCCCGAAATTCGGGGTTTTTCGCTGCATCACCACAAGCAATGTTGTCAAAAATTTAACGAACAAACAATGCAGGCTCATAATACAAACATGTGAAAAAAGAAACAGGCAAAAAAAAAACGAAAAAAAGCACCTATTCGGAGTAGCTTTCGGAGTTCGCCAAAATTTTCTCCGAATTCGGTGTTTTTGCCAACTTTTTCGTTACTGGTCCAAATACGTCGAAACTGAACACAGATACACCCTAAAGCACATACATAGCGCGCGCACACACACACAAAAAAAAAGCAAAAAATGAGGGAAATATGGCAGTGTCGGTGAAAAATTCACCGAAAGTGACACCACCTATTAACCATTAGTGTTGAGCAGAGATGGCAGAAGGGTGATGGTCGTACAGGGTGGGACTCGCTGAAAAAGACAGTATTCTCTATGATAGTAAAGCCTAATATATCTTTTGATGATTGATGCGAGGATCACAGATGTTAAATTTTCCTGGGCCTATGTTTCGAAGGGTCAAGGTCCTCCTCTTGGACTTGGCCGGTGATGTCTCGTTCATCGGATGAACCACAGGACACTTGTGAGGGTGGCCAGGCCCGTTACCTGGCTTGTATAATGGAGGCCCACTTTTGGGAAAAAAAAAGAACGGACTCTAAGAAAACAATTTGAACGTCCCTCTGCCAGATTTCTTGAATTATCTATTTATCATGTACTCAGCATAAGGGACGCTAGACCCGTTTGCCAGCAGGTGATGCTCCCGAGCAATAGACTGGAGCCATCTCCCGGGCTGCTAGCGGTGTCTGCTCGTACCAGCACGCCTAGCACAGTCGGCGGGTGTTAAAAAAAAAGGAAAAAAAAAAAGAAAAGAAAAAAGAAAAGATAACTGGGCCATGCTTTTTCTTCCTGGTTTGTTGGAAAAACCCAATTTGTAAAACTGAGACATTGTTTTTGTCCTCTTGTGCATGTATGTGTCTGCCGGGGAGGGTAGGACGGGCTGGGAAAATTATTTGAATTTTATTTCTGTAATAATCCGTATGACTTACCTGCGTGAGGAGATGGGGGTTGGAGGTGAGAGGTGGAATGGGCGAATTGGGTGGGTGAGGTTATCCTTCAAGGAAAAAACTTTTCCTGAAGCATGTGCTGGATTCTTTCCCCCCTTATCTGTTTTGTGGGCCTGCTGGCCAGGTCTGGATATCAAATTGGGAGGGGTAGGTGGTGGGATGCTTGCATGGCTTTCTAAAATATACAGGGAGTGATGAGCTGCCTCATGATAAACGACCTTGATGCCGGTGTCGGGAGGTTCGGTGAGATCCGTCTCTATTTCCTATCCCTGGTTTGGTTGTTGAATTACATACCCTACCCTCAGTGCCAAATGTTCCCTGATTTCTAAACAGCTGTCTTGGAAAAATAATTTATTATTACTGCATCTTTAATATTCTTTATACTAAGTCTATAGTATTTTGATGAAAAGGAATTCATTATTACTGCATCTTTATACTGAGTTTATACTGACTTTATAGTATTTTGATGCATGGATTTCCGTACGTGACATTTGGTTTCATGATTTCATCCCATCAATTCAAAACCACAACCCCACACAAGTTGATTGATAATACTCAACCGAACACAAGTGCAGAAATCATGGCATGATCCAGAGACAGGAGAACAATGTGCTTGTGTTTGTGTCACTGTTACACACACACACACACACACACACACACACACACACACACACACACACACACACACAC